TTGATTCGGACATACGAAGGTACTGGGTAGAGAGAGATCGGAACGGTTTTTAATGTGATACGGACATACGAAGGTACTGGGTTGAGAGAGATCGGAACGGTTTTTAATGTGAAGACAACAACAACAACAACAACAACTGATCCAACACTCGACGCGGTCGATTCCCGTGGTCACACGTTAACTTACCCTAAAAAGGTACACTCAAATAAACTGGCCCCGAGGGGTCCGCAAGTCAATAGAAATCAACGACAGATATTCTGGGATAATTTGGAGGCGAGAGGGCGTTGGAGAGGGTCAAGGCTAGGAACCAACGCCGGACCAATATACGGTCCCTAGCACTGTTGAGAGGGGGATCCTGAGTTTGGCGGTTGGGAGTTACTGCTGTCGTGAGATCGGGGTAGCTCGTGAACCGCCAGCTTTGGTAGCTGCAAAATGAGGCTGGATCCTAACGCCCCGGCTTGGACACCGGGGTTATGCAGCAGCAGAGAGCACGGTGAGGGTGGCGGAGTGACCGCACGCCGTGGGGGTATGCCCCAGAGAGAGGAAAGGAGAGAGTCCAGAGATGGAAGGCCACACCGCTCCGGGACAAGAAGACAACTCTATGGGAAACAAGGCAAGAACCGGGATAACTATTACATTAGCCCGAGTGTTCGCAAAAAAATAGCAAAAACAACAATCAGAGGGCGTGAAACCGCTTAGATTGGAAGAGTCACGAACAGGTTCAACCTATCTCCCTTCCACCTTTCTTTTTGATGATGAAACCGTTTGAAACCAACACGCCCGGACGGAGCAACTATGCAGTGTATGAGGAGGGTGTATCTTAACGCTTTATTTAGACCAAACAGGGAACAGGGCACAGGGAACTCGGAATTCCCTGTTCCGTGTCGTTGTGTCTTAACATACACCGCATTTCCCGGGAACACGGAACATTTCTTGGAACATTTCAGCGCGCGTGTCTGGCGCGCGTGTATGAGCATGACATTTTTTGTTTTTGTCTTCACTTGAAATCAGCGCTCACAGCACTAGTAGTGCCGTTTACTCCAACCCGTGGTCACACAGAAGAGCCCCTCTCTACCGTCCCCTCCTGCGGTACTTTGCCTTCGATTTTTAATGCGAGAAGAGTTCAGCACTCTCTTCCCTCTGTGTACACACGAACTAGCGCCATCCACTAAGCCAGGAGCGGAAGCGAGAGAAAAGTCACTTTGCAAGAAAAGCTCGCTTACGCCGCCGGCATTCGAACCCCTGACCTGACCTCTAGGGAGTTTTCGAGCCAACTAGATCGCCGGGGCGACCATGGACATTGTATATTTTGTGGATCATGGTTGGTTGCTGTGACCAGTATTATTCCGACCCCCGTCCTCACTCTCTCCAATCTCCTGGCTCTGCTCGGGGCGGAGTCTAGTCCGCCAAACTATGGTCATGGCTCCTCCTCCAATTCGAAATTCACTACATACATTTGTTTTTACTACAGTGTGGTGGCAGATCAGCGCGTCAGGCACGAGCCCTTGTTTGCTGTCTTTTGCTTGCTACCGCTGGCTCTGCCTCGCGTCGGATACACCCGCCTTTGTCGAATACCCCACCGGAACAAAACTGGAAACTGCCCTGTAGTACAACAAAACATTACCAGACAGAGTGTATGCGCTACCAGTGAGCACGTTGTTCTATCTTAGTATCTGTGGCTGTGGCATCTGTTAAAAGAGGCGTAGTAAATATTTCTATAGGAAACTTTTGAAATCGGATTATGAGTAAATGAAGACAACAACAACAAACAACAAATAACGCCTCGGGTTAACCTACAATAAAGTGAGATAAGCGCTAATTTACCGAAAAACTAACTTTATGCACCCACAGGGACGCATATAAGCCATGCACCCACACCTCTTTTACCGACGGAAATCCTGTCTGAGATGAGGAACGAGCGTCACGAACATGTATATACTGTGTATGAGTTTTTTTGTTTCTTCAACCTGTCGCTCTACTACAGACAGGCAGGCGCAGTTTTCTGTCCCTCCAAGCAGCAACTACATGAACCCGGCTAAATCCCTAACCCTAACCCTAACCCCAAACCGACCCACCCAATAGGTGCTAGGTTGACATTGGGTGGCTCAGTTCTAGGTTGCTGTGCCTGCATTAGGGCTAGGTTAGCGCTGCATGGCTCAGTTCTAGGTTGGGGTGCCGGCATTGGGGCTAGGTTGGCGCTGGGTGGCTCAGTTCTAGGTTGGTGTGCCGGCATTTGGCGCTAGGTTGGTATTGATGGGATAATCTCTAGGTTAGTATCGCATGGATAGGTGCTAGGTTGGTGTTTATGCGATGGACCTACGTTGGTATGGCTTGGATAGGTGCTAGGTTGGTGTTGACGTGGGTAGGTTCTAGGTTGTGTGGGCCTAGGTCGCTCTTGGTTGGGTGGTTCTGTCGGTAAAAAAAGGTGTGGGTGCATGGCTTATGTGCGTCCCCATGGGTGTAATGAAATATTTTTCGCTAATTTAGCCAACGCATATTTTTTTTTTCTCTCTTTTTCTGTGCCAGATGGCCTTGTCTCTGCTTGCGTTGTGAAGCACCAAGATTGAACCAAGGGGGTGTACCTCTTTCTCTCCGGCCCATGATAGATAGTGACTGCTAGTCTCAATTGATACCTCGCATAGCGCGAAGAGGGAGCAGAGGATCCCAGAATATCTGTCGTTGATTTCTATTGACTTGCGGACCCCTCGGGGCCAGTTTATTTGAGTATACCTTTTTAGGGTAAGTTAACCTGTGACCACGGGAATCGACCGCGTCGAGTGTTGGATCAGTACGGACATACGAAGGTACTGGGTAGAGAGAGATCGGAACGGTTTTTAATGTGAAGACAACAACAACAACAACAACAACAACAACAACAACAACAACAATACTGTACACTCTATTCAACCATTTGCTGGCCTTCTGAGTCACCCACAGTTTTTGTCGAAAGTTGGAACGACGATGGTTCGGTTAGTAACTAACGTGGTTATTCCATGTGCATAGAGATACAGTATTTAGAAATACTGCTTGCTGCTGTAGAATTGTCCACCGATCAATTTTTCAGCAAATAACGGTTGAATGAAAGTATGACGATTGCCCTCTCCGATCCCCTATCTCCGATTGTTGTCACACTGGTATACAGTTATTTAGGGTTCTAGCAATGACAGTCATATCGTCCGTGTGACGGGTAGTCATAATAAGCTGTTTCACTGATGATACGACCTTCAAGCCCACTGAATCTTGTAACAACTGCTGTCTGTCGTCTGTGGCAGCGATTAATTTGAGCGGCGGTGCGCCTGCCGCCTGATAGCGTCGGCGGCCATGGGAGAGCTCAGCGGCGGAGGATGAACGGATGGTGGAGCGGAGTATTTTCGGACCGCAGCTGGTTGCAGCCTTCGACAATTAACCCCAATGCTCCGACGAGTGGGCATGCCCCGTCGCCATGGTTATCATCCATATAGAGAAGGAGGGTTTGGTCTGGATGCCAAGAACGCAAAACTTTTGTTTGGGCACACGAGCTAAACGTACTACCAACAGCCCAACAGCACACACATCTGAAGCGCCAGCACACTACTAACACTGCTTGCTGTGTTTCTACTACAACTACTACTACTACTGTAGATTATGTCGTATAAGATCATTTGACGTACATGGTCTATCTGGATCCAAGAGTGACGAACTGCACTACATCGATCGGTGCTGCTATGTATAGACTATGCATCGAGAGAAGCATCTGCTGCTGCTGTGTGTCTATAGAAGCCGAAATCAAACCATTATTAGAAGGCTGACTAGTCTAATGGTTTGATTTCGGCTTCTATAAAAGTTAGTCGTGGGGTTCGTTAAGTAAGGCTTCTATAAAAGGTAGTCGTGGGTTCGAGACCTAGGCTGCACACTTTGAAGTGGTTTTTTTCCTGAGACCCTGGAAACTCTAGGCCAGAGTATGGGTGACGGAAGGACTCGTGGACCCTGGAACATTCTGCAGGATGTGGTGGGTGGCGATTGATATGAAGCGAAATAAAGATTGGACGGATAGTAGCGCTGGCAAGGGGAGTCACCCTCCTCGGAAGTGAAAGTGACGGGGCTCACGAACCCCACGACTAACTTTTGTAAAAGCCGAAATCAAACCATTAGTAGACTAGTCAGCGCTGACTAGTCTAACGGTTTGGTTTCGGCTTCTTTATGTCGGCTGTTACAAATAATTATGCACAATAATACCCGTTGAAATTTGAAAAATGTTGTTTTCAAATTATTGCTGAAACGCTTGTTGTTTGTATTGGATTGATTCCGGAGAGGATGTATGTGCGGGAGGTACAATCTCCAGCACCCGCTGCTCGGCCCTATGCCAACTTGGTCTGTCACAGATACATACAATACATACATACATACCTCGTGGGTGAGATTTCTGGATGCGTTCATGCATTCGTGGTTCTTCGCATCATCATCATTGGCAAGAAATCGTACGGTCTACATATATATATATATATATATCTATATGCTCCATGGTACACTAAAACTTCGAATGAAAATTCCTAACAAGTAGTAGGAATTCGATGCAGTCATTCTAGACTGCTGTCTGTGTCGTCGTTGATTTCTATGCGTAAGACTTGCAAATCCTCCGGGTCCTTCGTAGTATGCACATACATACATACATACATACATACCTTTTTTCGGTAAGCAAGGTAGCCTGTGACCACGGGAATCGACCGCGTTATGTTTGACTACATATAGATAGATAGATAGATAGGTATACTGGGTAGAGAATGGAACGAAGACAACAACAGAACAACAAAAGACCTCTAGACTACTATTGAATAATTCTACATTATTATATTGGTACTTTTGAAACTCGAAACCGGATCTATCTATCTACCTACCTACCTACCTACCGTTTGCCTCTGCCCTTCGAACTTGTATGTATTCCTATGCATGCGTACGGATGGGTACCGCATGCTTGTGGAGGAGTAAAAAATACCACGATGAAGCAAGCTTACCAGACCAGACCACCAGTCGCCAATTGACCCCGGACGGAGTGAGAAAGCATCTCTTCGGCACGTTGCATTGATCGAAAAAAAAACACCGTCGGTCGTCGACGGAAAGAAAGGAACGGCTACCCGGCTACCCTTTGTCGCGAAACAGACTGAGGTGGTGGTGCATTTTACTACGTTGTACATAAAAAAAAAAACTGATGATAATAATACGCGTGGGCCTGAGACTTCCTCCGGTGTCCAGTGTTTGTTTGCAGGCATGAAACTACCGACAGGTATAGGAGGTAGGTGTGGAGGTGCGCCGGGAACGAACGCTGTCTTACTTTTGCGCCTTGCAGAACAACAACGACAGCCACCCTTTCCTTCCACCCATCCATCCCGAATCAGTGAGGGCACTACGTACGGCGGCTGAGGTTGCAGACCAGCCGCTGACCTAGTACGTACGTACTACCTGATAAAAACCTACAGCATGCAGGAGAGATCCTGGTCCGGTCTACATGTATGTATGTATGTTTTATGTTGTACCACATAGTGTTGTTAGTAATACGAAGTAAATGTCGAACATTTTCAGATTTTGGCAAGAAATTTCCCAATCTTCATGCATACGGTAATTCCCCGTCACGTTTTGCGGGGCGCGCTGGCGCTGAGGGTACTTCTGACCACGACTGACTCAGTGCTCAACCACGAGTAGTTTAGAGTAGCTCTAGCTGTGGCAGCAGCCTTCGAAACGACGCATTCGACAAGTAAGTGAGGAGCTGAAGAGAGCCGGTATTGCTGTGAGAACCGAATGTTTTTAGGGGCGAACAATGTTTTGCTGATGATGGTTTGCGACCGAACAAAAAGAGTCCACCCTCTCCTCCTTCCTCCCGTCGTCGCAAATACATGCATACGCAACCAAGTCAAGTCAGCACGCGTAACACCTGAACTCCGGAACTGGCTGGTCATGGGAATGGCGTGTGATTCTCGTCGGGTTCAACGGAAGCTGCTATTTAAAGCAACTTCCATACCTCCACAACGGCACCAACCAACCGACGATCGCTTGCGGTGTTGTATACAATACCTTCTTTACATCGCTCGAGAGAAAAACTCACTTGGTTCGGCGGGCTAGGCGAAATTGGTGGGCCACACTGAACCTCAGCTCCTCCAACGACGTGCGTCACCCCCGAGTCGCGCTGCTGGCAATGTTCTAAACTTGGCCACACCGCTCCGGTCCCGTGTGTGTATGTATGTCCGTCTGGAAAAAGTAAGTGTGTGGGAGTCTGGTCTCTCGAACATACCGTCGGGCAGACACCCCCCCCTCGGCGGGGGGTCCCAAATCAACCTTCTGGCCTTTTGAGAAACATTATTTTATTATTTTTTGGTTTACAAGCTGCTTACCACACTGACTGATGAGACGTCGGTTCACATGTTCACATCGGTTACCGTTTAAGAACTTCGAAAATCTGCATTTTTTTTTATTCTTTGCTTCTTTCTTCCTGTCTCGCCGCCTCCGCGTGCGGACCGTGTCCAGCAAGCAACTCACTCACACGGCGAAACTTGCTCGAAGCTCGTGCATCAACGGCACTTTGAAAGATGCCTCTCGGCATACAAACAAGAACGCGGCGGAGGGCCTTCCATTTGTTCGCTTGTTGGATACGGGCAAAGGGGCGGAATCGTGCGATCCATGATGATTGGGACGATGCTGCGGTGTAGAAGCATATTTTTGTATCCCTCTCCCCGGCTTGCTCGTCGTACAAAATGTGCGAACGAACGTGGGTACGCCAACCCACCCAGCCAGCTGGTAAACAACGCTGTTGTTGTTGTTGTTGTGTATACACACAGCAGTCTGCTGTACAACAGACTCAAAGCGAATCCAGTACCAGAAGTTGTCCCTCCTCTATATGCATCTCATGGGCTGGTATAATTAAAGTGCTAGTATGCATACACAGCAGCAGCAGCAGTCTCTTCGTTCTATTTCCACACGTACGTGTAGACGGATTTATTTAGCCGTTCGGTGATGATGTACACAGTGTAGATATTCCACCGATCCGATGTGGATCCCGGTGGGTTCTTACCCACGTCTCTTATTATGAATTTACCCCCCATTCATTGACGACGATTCCACCACCGGTCAGCATAATAGCTGAGCTCCTCCAGCGGCTGCACACTGCGGTAACGTTGGTTCGAGAACATTCTTGCCCTGACCATCACCAACCCGCAGCACGTTGACAAAGGGAGGACGGACAGCTGCAGGCTCGGAACGGATCCTGTGCGCCTGTGAGCCAATTATATACTGCTCATACGCATCGCACGAACTGCTGTAGAGAAGATTCAGCTGCTGTTATCTGCACATTAACGTTGCGGTATGCTCCCTCCCTTCTTGATCACGTACCACCTTCCAAGCAAGGTGCGCAAATACTTCCTTCCGCGTACAGCAGCACTGCATGCGAGATCTCATTGATTGATTGATTGACGATGTGAGAACCCTTTCGTGTGGAGCGCCGAGAGCAGTTGGTGGACATACATGTGTGAAAGGTGTCAAACTTGTCATTTTTTTTGCGGTCAAAACGTTGGCGCTGCCCTTCTTTGTCGTCAACTTGTTGTGGTGCGGCCGGTGCTCGGTATTTACTGCTGTAGTATAGCTCGGTGTGTGTGAAAGGTGTCAAACTTGTCATTTTTTTTGCGGTCAAAACGTTCGCGCTGCCCTTCTTTGCCGTCAACTTGTTGTGGTGCGGCCGGTGCTCGGTATTTACTGCTGAGTATAGCTCGGTGCTGCTGTGCATATATATGCGTTGGACACACCACCTGCACCACCAGTCCTTAATTTTGGTTCTCGAAGCATGTTTGCATCGCAGCGTTTGGGAAAGTCTCACAGCAGTCTCCACGGCAGTCTCGCACTTCCTACCCCATCGACAACGTGTCAGCTGCGACGGTTTCACCAGCGGCTGCAAGGTACGGTGATTTCGTGTCAAGGAACGTTGTGGAGCATTGGCACCCAATAACACCGTAGGTTGCCTGAGATACCCCACCCCCGGGACCGATTTTCAAACCGAGATTGATTGCTCCACAAGGAGGAGGATGCCAAACTGAAATACATTATTGTCATACATACGTCTTCGGAAAGGTCTCGTTCGAGACGGTTCCAACGTTTGAACGCCGCCATCCTGTACATACCGCAGTTTATTCTTCCTGTTGAAGAGTAAGCTTTTTTCCTTTTTATTACCTGCCTTCCCTCAGAGACCTTGATTCTACGATTTTACCCGCTGGCACTGTCGAAATTTTCATTGGCCAGCAGGTTAGCGCGGCGGTTGATGCTGCATGCAGTACGAAAACGCGCACACATGCACGTAAGATGGATTTAGTTATCAGGATTACGCGAAAGATAAAAGACGAAGATCTATCGACCCAAGTCGGTCCTCATAAGATACCACCATCGTAACCCGGCAGCGAGTTTTTGTTTTTTTGTTTTCAAATCAGCGCTCACAGCACTACTTACTGTCTGTGCCGTTTGCGCCAACCCATGGTCACACGGAAGGGTTTCTCTCTCCGAGGCCCCCTACCTACCCCTCCCTCCTGCGGTACTTTACCTTCGATTTTGAATGCGAGAAGAGTGCGGAACTCTCTTCCTCGTGTAGTGTAGCACAAATCGGTCCAAAGGCCAGGATCCACCATCCACCCTCGACGAGAGCACCTATAAAGTAAGTAAGGCAAACCGCCTAAATTGTAGTACCCACGGGAACTCTAAACAGTCTAGACGACATAGAAAGCTCCGTCGTCCTTTCCTCCTGCTTTCCACGTATGTATGGTGATCTTGGCGTTACGAAGCGTATACTGAAAGGGAAAATGGAAAAATTTCGATGACACGACAGCCCTTTTCACCCAAAGGCTTTCCACACGAAGAAGATTCGGAGACACCTTCTTCCAGCTATTATTGTAGCTCGTTTCCCATCAAAAGTGTGAATCCGTGACGTCTTGAAACCCCATGGGTTAATAACGATCGACCAAATCCCACCGAAGAAATTGGTTGAGATCTCACAGATGATGGAAAAGAGGCGGCGGATGGATACGAAGGAGGGGACAACTCGAAGGAAGGTGTCCACGAAGCCAGAGGAAAAATCGCTGGTGAACGGAGGCTGATAGTGGCTCGTAGGAGAATATTAGTATTAAGAGCAACGACCGAGGAGGAAATGGAATAAGAGACACGAATTGGAAACATGAGCCAAGAAGGAATGCGTCGCATGAACGAGAGCAAAATTTTCGAGCCAGCTGATCTTCCACACAACAACCGCCGGAGGAATAGAGAACTACCCAAAAGAAGAGATAAATAAGTGGACACAAGGAGGATGATATAGAAGCAGCAACAACACGAGTAGTAGAGCCTCGGCAAACAACTTCATCTCTCTTCATCTGCTACCGTTTCTGTCTTTAATAATCCGGACAATAGACCTAGCCTTCCCCGTGACGCCACGTCACGGAGTCCCAGACCATGCAGAGATGGCCGTCAACGTCCGTATCTGAGGACCACTAGTCATCCACCGCAATCAACCCGAAAACCCACGCTCATGAGCAGGTGGTCCTGGGACGAAGAACCAGGATGCTCATGTCGCGCTGGACTCTCCTGCCGGGGCTGCTTCTGGTGCTCACGCCGTTTTTTGAGGAAAGCGGCTTGGCGCCTGTAGCTGGAGCACTAAGTGGGGTGGAACCTGCCGACGCGTGCGCCGATTTTGCACCTGGCCAATACACCGGGTCAGGGTGGACGCCCGAAGACTGCTTGCACGTTTGGAACGACTTCAACGATACAGTATGGGAGCAGTTTCATCCGCGTATGCCGGACGCGGACCTTTGGATCGATACGGCCGAGGAGCTGAGACGGGCGGGGTCGCCATGCCTCGTTGGTTCCATACCGAACGGCGACGGTGCCGGCAGTACCACCATCAGACATCTGGCGACGTGGATATTTTCGAGGGAGATGGGGTGCGATTGGGTCACGCCCGACTGGGGGAAGAAGTTCGTGGGCGGCCGCAGCGGGACGGCGGTGATGTACTGCCACAGAGCCGGCACCGCCGCAGAAATGGATCCTTCGAAGACGAAAGAGGAGCTGAAAGCAATGCGTCGATGTGTAATCATTGACTGGTTGTCGTACTTCCAGTTCGATATTCCATCTGTCCCGAGTCCGGTGCACGAGAAGCTCATGGTTGTCGAGGCAAGCGCGTAGGCCAGAGTCGGTTTGAGACCTTACCGTTTCGTCGGCGATGAAATGGACTGCGAATGACCTCGGCCATCAAACTACACGTGCTTACAACAAATAGGCGACGTCGTGCTCTCAGAGTCGAAGATCCAGTCCTTCGCAAAATATGTAAGAAGCCGAAAGACTCATCTACCGCCATGACATGCGGTGTCTTCAGCGCTGTCGGGCACGTTAGGTTCTCAGACATGCGCATGCACTCTCGTCCGTTGTTTTGTCTCTCTCGACGCTTGATCCCGACAGGCTAAGAAGAGATCCTTCACTCAATCCATACTTGAGATGCAGAACAAGCTGCAGCAATCGGGTATCGAGGGCCAGCGCTGGGATCGTGTGCTTTTCTCCTTGACTGCAACGTTGGCAAGCCAGCACCTCGTGAACATTGGGTCATGGGACGAGAGGAAAAGAAAGATCGTTCGAGAAGTTCTCCAAGAGGCCAGGTCGAATTTTCATAGGCATCCACGCCCATGGTGAGTTCATGGCTCAGGACCGAAACCTTTGAATAGGCGTGGTGGCTTGCCAAATTAAATGCGGTTTCAGGGTGATTCGCAGAAACTTGGTTCCCCAAAACGCCGAGCGTAACGGTTGCACACATTTTGTGCGGCAGTGATCCCGAACGGCAGGGGAAGAGGGTGGCATGGCCGGTGCGGCCAACCCGTGTTGCCCTATCGTCAAGAGTCCGTCTTAGTCTATCAGCGCCCTTTCAAACGTCACCGACGACAAGCCCGGATCAACGAAGTTTTGCTCTTGTGTTCGGGTGGTGGACGTCGTGACAATTTAAACCGCGCAGCGAACATGTAAGAATATGAAAACTGCCACAGGTGACACAAGATACCACACCCCCTGGACCGATTTCCAAAGCTCAACTACTCCAAGACAAGGAGGATGCCATCATCAAATGGCATGTTTTCGGAAAGATATCAAGGAGCCGGTTGCAACGCCACCATTTTAGGCACCTCCACTCTCTCTACTGTGGAGTGAGTATTTGAGCTTTGACAACCGGTCCAGGGTGTGTGAATCTCGTGCGACCTATGGTGATTTAACGCCCCCCGAAAGGTCGGAATTTCTTCAAAGGGGCTGTGCGTGTGTCGATTTTCAGCGATAAAACGCCATCGCCGAAGTCAGAAAGACACGTCGCCGAAAGGGCACAACGTAAGTATTGCGAAAAAAGAGAACGATCGGATGCAACATATTAAGTGTTCGGCATGGTAGGTTTGTGGGTGTCCCCATGGACAAGATCTCCAGCCAGCGTGTATCAAACACCACTGTTGCAAGTCCAACTTGATGGCTGAACCCCCTATGCACCAAGGCACCGCGTTCATAGATTGGACCTCTTCTGTGCGCAGCTGGCGGAACGTGCATGGCAGGGATATATATCACGGACAACAAAACGATATTTAATTAGAGTCTTGGCTTCGATGTAAGAGGGTAACTTATGAAGAGGGGAATCCGATGGAAGAGGGTCGAACTCGGTTATCACGGGCTCGACCCGCTATAGTATTGTTGGGTACCCTATTATTCCGGTATAAGAGGGGGCTCCAATATCAGAGGGTCGAGGGCCTTTGCCACACCACCCTCTTATGTCGAATGCACGACTGTATCGTTGTTTGTTGACGATCCGCACGGGCCGTGTCGCCCGGGGTACTAGAGCTTGTTACGCACGAGTACAGCTGAAACGAGTCTTGACGACGTCAGACAGCGGCATGCGAAGGAAGCCTACTCCTCAGCGATAAGAAGCATATCTTGTGGCCCTCTCTCGGTTGATCGACGTTGGGGGCAATATGTAACCGAACCGATCCTGAACGTGGGCAAGACCTCTCTGCGGACGATAACTGTTCCACAAACGCCCCTCTCCGTCCGCTCTATTCAACTAGGTACGACGAGAACCCACGTTGCCACTTCGAGAACGACCGCTTTCATTTCGCTGTGCATATCCGTATGGGTGATAGACGCGCCTTTTACGACGGAAGCCTGCAGTACTTCCACAACGTGGAGTTAATCATGGAGACTGTGGCCGACGAGTTCAGAGAAAGAGGGTTACCGGAGCCGCTGTTCCATGTTTTCTCCGAAACGCTGAGTCCGTGCCCTTCGACGGTCACCGGGCTGTTCGACGAATTCCCAATTTGGCCGGTCGAGCTTGACAAGGTACGAACACCTCGAAGCTTGCGCAAATCGTGCTCGCCCGTTTCATGGTGCCAGCTGTGTAGGAGAAACAAACGTCAGACCGCCGTTTGTCTTGGGCCGGTACAACTTGCGTTGCACGTCCAACAGTGTTTCGTATTATCGTACGTGCTGCTCGTCCGTCGTGTGTTCCGGTATTTGGGTGGAAGGCTACAAGTTCTATCTCTTCCCCCGGTAGCTGCAAAGCAGGCCCTATGTTTTTTCGGCGAATAGAGGTTGGTCTGCCTGGAAAAAGGGTGTTGTATAATGAAATTACTACATATCGATACACACGGCCAAATCTTGGATGATAGTAACGTCGAACCCGGCGGGATGGTCTCTCCTCTGTACCTTGGGTTAGCGTTAGGTTTACTCACTCTGCTCTGTGTCGCACGCGCTTGCACCGATCAGATCGAGGAATGCTTGGCTGCCGCGACGCCGATAGATTGCCCGGAGAAGCAAGCGGGGACTTTCTGCACCCCGAAACGAGCCGGCATTTTCCGAATTCGCGACAAGTCCATCGTTCTTCACGTGGGCTCCGACGTCCAGAACGAAATGTCTTGCATGATTCAAGCCGACGGGGTTCTGATGGGGTGCAGCACGTTCGGCCAGATCGCCGGCTTGCTTACGAGAGGCATATCCCTCTTCTCCACGCGGTGCAGCGGCGAGGCCACCCCTCATCAGTACAGGTCGATCCCTCCCCTCGCGATCGCGGAAAAAGGGCACCTGTGGGTTCCCATCGAGGGCTCGTGGCACGATCCAGTTTTGACCTCGAGGTCAATCTTCAGCGCCGCGTTAGATACGTTGCTTGTGGCCAAAAGCCGTCGCTAGTCATGTCCAGCGCATCAGGTTGGTGATGTGCGAGGATGCCAATGAAGCTGAGTATATTCGCCCCTTTGATCGAAGCTTAGGTACTTGCTGGAATGGGGCGGGCTGTGAGGTTGGGCAAAGCGGGGATTGACTCGTGCCTGGGAGGGTTTGCATAGCTGATGGTCTATAAGTAGATTGTTTGTTGTCGCCCCGGGCTTAACTCAAAGGTGTCCACAAAGTCAGACATCAACAAGCCAGGGGCGAGATAGGATCTCAATTCATGGCGGGTCATTTCGGCTAGGTATGTTTGGAGGGGGTCTTTAGAGGATGCGGTCAATGTGTGACTGGTTCCTTGAAACATCGAAACAACAGCACCCACAAGAACAGCCCAAAACAACGTCGTCAGCAACATCGTGCTGAAACTTTATTCCACAGATATTATTTTACTCCCCTTTAAATTGGTGTCTCCCCCGCGCCCAGACGTTAGGTTGTGCGGAAAGAGATCCCACTGGGGGGTACTTCAAAGGTGCTGTCGTATGGGGGGATTCTTCGAGTAGAAGATTGTCCCAGAGGGAACGGAGGAGGTCAAAGTTGTTTTGGTTGTTTTCTGCGAGTTGCTGTCGGGGACACTTGTCGGGGAGGGAAATAAAAATTGACGGAGTTAGTTGTTGTTGGGGAGAGCACAACTTGATGGATACGCCGCCGTTCAATGAATGTTTGTCAAGGTTTATTGGGCGGTTCGTTGGCGAAAACAGTTTTTTTGTTTCAGTGTGTTTTGAATGGAGCGGTGCGGCGAAACTGTTCGGTGCATTGAACGCACCCGAACGGCAATGAAAAACGCTCCGGCTCCGTGACATTGCCAAGTAGTAGATCGCGCTGCTCCTTGGTATTTAAAAGTAACGCCTCGCATACGGTAGAGGTACCAGGATGATGAAATCATGCGATTTTTCCTACTCTGTTGCCTTGATTTGTTGAAGCTCTTGATAAACTTGTTTGACATCGCGTGCCGAGGGGGAACCATAGGTTCCTTTTCTTTGTTTTGGATCTCCTTTGCCCGAAATGCACCAACTTCGTCTGATTACTGGCTGTCGGGGGCACACTTTTCTGTACTCTGGGTTTGTGTTGTGATGTGTCCTCGCGGTTGTTTATGGTTATTTTTCTGGGTCCTTCCCAGTTGTTTGTTTTTCACTTGGCAGTCTGGGTTGGAGTACACGGCACAAACGCTGTGAGCGCGCTATTTTGAAGTGAAGACTAAATAGAAGAAAAACTGTACCCTCTTTGGGTACCTCCACGGACGGACGCGTCCGCTTCAGTTGCACCGGTATGGATATTAGAAGGTACTGAGCGAAGACCGGAACGGTTATTAATGTGAAAAAAACAACAACAACACGACGACGACGACGACGACAGCAACAATACCGCATAGAATAGCAAAAAGGGTAGCAGGTGTGGGTGTGCTGGGTACATCGCAAGCCGCCCGCCATCGTCGCTACGGTGGCTCGAGACGGCATGCGAAAGCGAGAGAAATATGCACACACTCCGCGCCACCACCACCCCGTCTCGCCACAGAGTTCGGGGCCTTCGCGACGCTTATTTCACAGTAACGGCTCCTTCCACTAATAGACGCATCAATACGGCGTGGACACAAGAGGTTTCGGCATGCCTTGGTTTGTATGTCCTCCCGGAAACCAAAAGTGCAAGACAGGTGTGTGTGTGTGTTTTTTATTATTAGCATCGACCGCTAACCGGCTGACCAATGAAAAGACGTCAGTCTTAGTGCGGTTGAAAACACATGTGTGTGTGTGTGTGTCATATTTATTTGGCGACACCCCCCATTTTTAGCGGTGACGTCCTACACTTTTCAGTGTATTTTTCGTACAACTACAACCATCCAGGGTCGCACAGGAGGGGGTAAACAGGTACAAGAGGAAACTGAAAGCACGCGCCCGTCATCATGGCGTTTCACCACACGACATGTTGATTATCACGTCTTCTCCAAAACCAACATACGTGTGAACAGATTTATTTTTTGTTCACCCTGCAGGACACGCCCAAAAAAAATCAAAAGGCTGGAACTTACGTCATGCTCTGTGCTGGGCGGCAATACCGTACGAGACAAACTCATTGCAAGTCTTAAGGCCCTCTCCACCAACCCCTCGATCATGGAGGGTTATTATTTCCCAATTGCAAATTGGGATTTCTGCCGCGGGTAAGCAAAACAGCTATTAATAATTTTTTTTCGTCGTGTGATGTCCTGTCGACATTGACGTACGGATTTATTTGAGTTCTAACGTCACAACACCAGCCGGGAGAGCTCCGAAGACCCGTAACAATGACACGTGTATCAGTTGTATATCTCTAAACCTTTCCCCTTGTGGGGTTAAACCACGGCCGCGTGCTAAAATCGCAAAAGTTTGGAGGCGGGTGCTACACATGCTACAGATCCCCGCATCTCGTCGAGGACGCCCTCTATTCCCCAGTGGCAAGAGCTCGGCGCTTCTCCGGATGGAGATTATAACCAAACGAAGATATGGAACACTTCTCTCCCGCGGATGGTCGGAGGCCATGACACAAGTACCCTGCCCAAAGTGTTCCCGCCGCGTTCCAATAACAGCAAACTACCGAAAACGACGGGCATCCATCACGCTGGCTACACTAACGTTTCGGCTCGACACGAGGTTATGCCCCAAAGCGACAACGAGTCCCCCCGTGGATATCCGCCATCCCGGTGTTTACCCATGGGGGCAATGCTCCACCGGTCCTCGCGCGGACGCGTGGTCATCGGTCTAACCGCCAAGCTCGTGACGCAAAGTCAACACACACAAAAACCATGATCCCTCCCGTGTGTGTGCCCACTTGCAAGGAGACTGCAAACAGCATGGAAGAGGAGGAGGGAAGAGAACAATGCTGCTGCAGGCATCAATCAGCCCACGATCTTGATACCCGGCTGGATCGATCGCGACGTCGCTCTACCCAAACCGAACAATCTCTACGCCCATATGCTGCTTGCGTTCGGGCTGCCGCAATGGCACCGGCCAACGGGCCAGCCACCGGGCCTCCAAAACGACCCCTTAAAAAAGTGTCGCAACAACAAAAAAAAATCGGCCACGGATTATCTAACGCTCTTCACACCTCCTCGTGGTTTGCGTGATTGTTTGGGCTACGTACGTGTGGTATTATTGTATTCGCCCGCTACACAATTAGCCCCCCGCGGGGGATGACAAAACATTTTAGATTACCTACCCTTGAGCCCCGGTAATCCGCCTCTGAGCACGAAAGGGTATGCTCGAAAGCTCTTGTTGCCGCACAGCGTCAATGCTACACCTACCTGCGTGGGACGTTAACTTACACGTACTTAAATTGGACAACAACCAAACACCATGCATGCCGACGTGTTCGCAAACCTCTATTCCAACTACGTGCTAGGACGATTGTTTCCGATGGCAGCAGCGAGATCGAAACACGCTCTGACGCACCACTCCCTGCACACCTCGAATCATGCGCGGGGTAACACCCTTTCTTGGGTGCAATACGACCCATGGTGTGAAGACAAAGACAAAACAACGGCGCGCACTGCTGTTGTGCAGGCATTAACTAACAAGTCGTATTGCTCAACGATGGCACATACATACATGCTGTCAGGCATCTACAGAGCGCGAACGGCGACACTCACAAGGAATGAGAGGACCAGGGATTCCGAGAGGGCCTAGATTGTCGGTTCATCATGTACCGTCAGTCACCGTCGCCACCCCACTAGACGTAGCTCCCAACCGAACCCATAACTCATCATGTTTCTGAGCGCCCCATCCCAAGCTGGTTCCATAAACTACGTGTACTACATAAACAAAGCATCTAAACAAAAGCATCTCCCGAGACTGATCAACAACATCGGAACACTTGTGTGAGGTGACAACTCTGTCGTATGAACATTTGCGTTACGACCCCGCCCAAGGGGTTCCGCTCCTGGCCAAGTGGATAGCGCTAGTTCGTGTGTACACAGAGGGAAGAGAGTGCTGACCTTTTCTCGCATTAAAAATTGAAGGCGAAGTACCGCAGGAGGGGAGGGTAGAGAGAGGCTCTTCTGTGTGACCACGGGTTGGAATAAACGGCACTAGTAGTGCTGTGAGCGCTGATTTGAAGTGAAGAACAAAAAAAAAAAAAAAAAAAAGCGCCCGGCGTCGGTACAACTTTCGCAGCATCTGGGGTTGCGGCTAGCAAGGATTCGACCCTGTCAGCCAAAGACTACAGCAGAGAGGAGTCCTCAGCGGACTTTGAGTGCTAAGGTGGTGTTGGCCGTGTCGCCTTAGGCCTGAGGCAGCACCGAAGTTTACACGGCCAGCCCAGAGCTAGGACTGCAAGAGAGAAACCGCCGATTTTGGGTCCCTAAATGACGGAAGTGGACCCGTTGTCGTACATCCGGCCACAAACCCCGGACTTGAGGTCCTCATCTGACTGGCGTGGACCCGTTGTCATATGGCCACAACAGCAAGCAGTTTACATGGCCCGACAACCGAAAACAAGAGCAAGAAATAATAGGGAAGACATCCCTCAGCGAACCCTGGGTCCCCAGATGATGGCCGTGCCGTCATCGCTGCAGGAGGACATCATGCCTGGGTACTTAGGGTTCCAGGACACAGAATTCACCACGTCCTCGTGTCCCTGTCGAGTTGTTAGTTGGCCAATCCCCGTCGTTGTTTGCCGATGGTGCAAGAGACAAAGGGAAGACAAAGGGAAAACAAGTGAGCTTACAGATGCAAGAGACAAGGGAAAACAAGCGAGCGAATCCTAAATGAAGGCTGCGAGAGGGACGCGCGACGGCTGGAAACGGGCATCAACCAAGCCCGGCCTTCAGCCAAACAGGATCGAGGCCGAACACTGCATGGGGCTGGCAACGACGGGCGCCCGGTCCAAGCAGCAGCGTCCTGTTTATGCACTCAAGCTCTTGAAGCGCAGGTGGACGAATCGTGGTGGTGGCGTTGCCATCCGACACAGAAAAGAGTGTGACTCATGGCCGAAACGGTACAACTTGCTGCCTGACACAACATGGATCATTTTTTTCTCATTCTGTGGCTTTCCGTCCTTGGTGCCATGAACTGTGCCTGTCGTGGGGGCGGGAACCTTCTCCTTCCACAGACGCACAGGCCTTTGCGATCGATCGTGAGTAAAAAAAACACTCGCCACACCACACAGGTGGAGCAACAAATACCCGCACGCGAGAGATAGACGCGTAACGCTGATGTTTGCACGAGACCCTAGCCATGGACCGATTTCAAAAAAGCTCGATCAACCCACAGCAGAAACAGCGGCCGTGCCGAAAACGGCTGCACGCTGGAACACCGTCTTTTGGACCGATTTCCAAAAAGCTCGACTGACCCACAGCAGAAACAGCGGCCGTGCCGAAAACGGCTGCACGCTGGAACACCGTCTTTTGGACCGATTTCCAAAAAGCTCGACTAACCCACAGCAGAAACAGCGGCCGTGCCAAACACTGCGGCGCGATGGAACACCGTCTCGCCGAGAACTTCCCGAAAACGCACCGCCCGCTTGATACATACCCCCCCTTGGTCGTGGAGTAATGGAGCTTTGAAAATCGTTCCAGGGCTGTGTACAATATTATGTGTCTTTATTTTTAGCATCGACCGCGCTAACCGGCTGACCAATGAAAATACGCCAGTCTCAGCGCGGTTGAAAACTGTGTATGATGCATGCACATGTTTGTATGTTCGCGGCGTCACCTTGAGGACACCGAGGAGCAGACGGTGTCGCAGGTGCCACACGAACACCCGGTGCTCCTCCGATCCGCTACAGACGTAGTCGCCGAAGGGATCTGCAGCGCTCTGCGCCGCCATGATGAGGAAAGGGCAATCCTTGGTGGTGAACGCGTGGTGCCCGCCCAGCTTGAACGCGAGCTTCTTGGTCGCGACATCCCACACCTGTTTTTTTTTGTTCCGAAAATTCGAGCGGTGACGTCACGGCGATCACTTAGGTGGGTGACTTCATGGAGGCGAGGGGGGGGGCGTACTCTCAAGTTTTGCATGCCTTAGCTGTTAAACCGTTGACTACGCGTCCACGCGTCGAGAGCACGGAACATTGTTCCCACGGGACTGATCACAGATAGCCGATCGATCCTTCCTACTTTGCCAAAGGTGACAAAAAAATGTTTCCCCTGGCCTGTCTATCCTATCCGGTGGGTGTGCTCATAGCTGTGCATGCCGTAGTCGTTAGACTCACTTGACTTGACTTGACCTGATGGGGGGGGCGGGGGGATCGACTTTCGGGATGCACCAGGGGGCAGCAGTCAGCTAAAATACAGAAACCTCTGACGCGACAAAAACAAAACATTCCCAGAAAAAACGAAGAACCTCCGAAATTTGGGGTTCTGGACGTGATCCCAAGCCACACGCCTCGCGTGCATACACGATATGGGTTGATTGACCCACATCCAAACCAATTCGAGCAAGTCGTGCCGCGAGCGTGCGGATTGAAACCATAGCGACAGCGGTGCCCCCCCCAAAAGAGGAACAAAGCAAACGACTGCGTGAGATACGGGCATCATCGCTCAATACTGCAACGCGACGCCTCTGCCGTGCAGCAGGCAGGGCAAACGCCAAGCAAAGCAAACAGCTGCGTGAGACACAAGCATCACTAATGGCGGCCTGAGGCACAGGGATCATCGCTCAATACTGCAACACGACGCTTGTGCGGTGCAGCAGGCAGGGAGGAGGCCAAACAAAGGCAAACGGCAGAGTGAGACCCAGGCATCACGACTCAGTGCTAATGGCAGCGTGAGAGACAGGCAGTCGTCATTTCTACAACCCGACGCCCCTGCTGTGCAGCAGGCAGGGAGAAGGAAGGCCACACATAGCAAACGGCTGCTTGACACACAAGCATCACTAACTGCTGCCTGAGACGAAGGGATCACCGCCCACAACTACAACACGACGCGTCTGCTGTGCAGCAGGCAGGGAGAAAGGCCCACGAGGCGGAGGCTCGCGCGCGGCGGCGGTTAACACATCGACCAACCCACCTGCAGCTCGATTTCGTTCGATATCTCCGGAGCAGTATGCCGTCCTTCAGGACGATGGAGCTTGTCAAGGGCGCCTTTCTGCAAGCATCGACAACAACAACAACAACAACAAAAAAGAGGGTCAATGCCGGTGCGGGTGACAACGACGCTGCAAAATGTACGTAAATCGTGGCATACAGTTTTTTTCTGCGTCCCACTCACTACAACGCCTTCAACACATCCACTTCGACTGTGGTATTATCTCGAACTACAGTAGTCTCTGCCGACAACTCTACCTGCGGCGGGAGGGGACGCCAGAGGGCACAGCAACAAAAACGCCAAAATGTGTGGCTGACGTACACAGGTGGAATCACAGCGGGCTAAACACTATGCATAGCTGTCTCTTGCCGCAACAGCACTGCGCCATCAAAATAATTTCGACGAAAAATTTCGGCTGCGGTATACTCGGAGGATCAGTTAATCCACAACAAGCCTTTCGTCGAGACAAAACACACGCCAGGCCGAGAACCAACGACACACCCTCACAGACACTGCCTAAAATCGTGGTGTACATGAGTCCTACCATGAACGGTCGCACGCTACCCATGATGAATCGTTAAACCGTGGTATCTACATACATGACGCCATGAACGGTCGCACGCTAAACATGATGAATCGCTAAAACAAATCGTGGTATCTACATACATGCGTCGTACCATGAACGGTCGCACGTTAACCATGATGAAGCGGTCGTCCCGGGTGACGCTCAGGCTCAGCACGGCACCCCCGCACTCGACTGCCTCCATCCGCCTCGCCGTGACCTTGGGCTGAAGGGAGGCCGCGTCGCCACCGCTACCGCTCCGGAGAACGCGGATGAACACGTCCTTCTCATCGTCGCCGCTGCCACCACCATCATCATCATCATCCGAGACACCCGGGTCACCGGGCGAAATCGCAGCAGGCCTCGTGGACGTCGATTTCGGCGGCGACGCCCTAGCCTCCCCCAGCGGGATAAACGCGACCCGATGACACATCATGGGAGTGTCTCCGGTGGCCACGCAAGCCCACGAACCGGAATTGCTTATCTAGATTCGGAGTCGACGGACAAGAACCCATGGGGGGGGAGGGGGGGGTCGCGCATTTGAATCGATAAACACAAGCTTCAGGGTCCGGACATCATCGCTCGACCTCGCTAAGGAAGCACACAACGCGTGTGGCACGGCATGGGACGGAAAGGCAACAAGACACTCGCGGGGTTTCCGTAAGAGACTCACGGGCTTCCGCAAGGCAAGTAGCGGGTTTACGTAAGACTTGCGGGTTTTCCACAAGAGAAGTCGCGGGTTTTCCGGAATATACTCGCGGTTTTTCCGTAAGAGGTACGGACGGCAACGCAAAGAAACGTCTCTTCAATTTTTAAGGGAGGTGAAGGGAGGACAAGGGTTACCTCCACGACAAACCGGCGAAATCTTGAGGCATCGCGTTGCGAACAACCCCTCCGCTACCAGCTACGCCGTCCGCAGGCTATTTTTTTCGCGCATCGTACTCGTTTCCGGTGATTGCTAAACGCCACGGGGGGGCTGCATCTACCACACACCTGCTGTTGTGGGCATGAAAAAGGAGGCCTGTGGATCCGACGTGAATCATTTCGGGTAGGGTACCGACAGGATGGCCGAAAACCCTAGATGCGCGTTTCTTCTTTCTCGCAAGAGTCACCGAGGATAGACGACCACGACCAACGGATGTAGTTCACAGCTAAGATACAGAAGCTTTTACGAGAAACCGTGGTTGAGCACAGAGACAGGCTGTCCAGACTCGAGTTCACTATTGAAGAAGCAGGAGGGAAGCCGACGTCGTAGATAGAGCCTGAGGTGAGCAGGCCGTGCCGAGCAAGCCACCCCCCGTGATAGCCTGGTCCGGTGAGAACCCGGCGTGCTCCGTCCCGGCTTTGTAGGGATGCGAGGTCAATGGTCTAACGACTACGGCATGCACGACTATGAGTACACCCCCCCCCCCCCCCACGGGGCCCCCTTCCTTCTCACCTGGGAAAAAATGCGCGAAGTTCCTGTGAAGGTTGAGCCGAACCTCGGCGACCAGCGGCATCTCCGCCGTCGTCGACTTGCGCGATCACCTCCCCGCCTTGCATGACCCACTCCACACCCCCCTCCTCGTCCTCTCCGCCGCCGCCGCCGCCGCCGCCGCCGCCGCCCTCCACGGCCGCGATCCCGACCCCGACGTTTAAGTCGAACAGGCCACCGCCGTCACCGCCGTTGGCGTGGGCGCCGCCGCCGCCGCTAGAGGCGGAGGGTTCGAAAGGGTACTGGATAAGGGGAGTAGGGTGCGAGTCGCCTCCCAGGCAACCCCAGGGTTGCATGGTTTCTTCTCCTTCGTTGCTGCTGCCGCCGTGGCTGGAAACCGGTTCCAAAGGCGGAGGGCTGAACGGTGAACCAAAGCTGGGGGCCGCCGCCGCCGCCGAGGCAGCAGCAGCAGCAGCGCCAGCGGGAGCGACAGCTTCTTCCTCTGGTAGTGAAACCGACATGTCATGTGCGGGGAGCTCTTCGCGCGGCCCTCCGCCTGACAGGACACAGACACGGCAACACAGACCAGTCAGGCAGAGCGGCGCTCAGGAGAAGAACGGTGTACGGCCAGCAGCGATGCCCACACTGTTCGATGAAACGCATATCCACTATGCTATGCAAACGAGTCAGCGCCAGCAGTGCTACCTACACTGTTAGTTAACAGCATACCTTTGCTACAAGTCAGCGGTGGCTTGTAGCATATGTAGTGGATGTGCAGCACATCTAACATACACCAGCTAACAAACATGGCGCAACGCGTGCCTACGCCGATAGGATATGACAACACCACCAGAGCTCAGAGCTTGAGGCTGTGAGACGCGATTTCAGCCAATAGCACAAGGGTAGAAAGCGTGCTGCATATGCCGAACAGCGCAGCAGACACAACAAAACGCGTGCAGCACGGCTGGCAAAAGTCATGGGGGTGCCAAATGCCATGCGGCAAGATTAACCACGAGATGTGACTCGTGAGATCGCCAATTGAGAAAATTCTCAGCGCATTGGGTTGATTCATTTTCGAACGTGTGTTTTTGTGTTTTCGGCCCAATTATCCTGGCGACAGCCTAATGTGTACGTTTGATGTATCAACCGGGGCCACCGCCCGTAAATAACCCACTGCTTGTTGACACATATCGACCGAAAAACGGTGAATGTGAAGTATGTTTTGACGCATCAGACACGGTACGGCTCGTCCGAATACCCACTGCTTGTCAACAAGAGACGACCGAAACGAGAAAACACACGGCACCTGACTCGACCGCCGTTTCGTCGGTGACGGACGCTTGAGCAGGCGAGCCCTTTCCCTCGAGGCCTGGATCGACCCACATGATCCCGGCCACCTCCCCTGTCGCAGAAACAGGGATTGATGCCGCGGAACCCCCTTCTCCGGCTTTCCCCCCCCCCGCGGGATCGCCAACCCCCGTCGCCGACTGCTGCGCCTCGCCCAGGTGCAGCAGCGTCAGCGTGGAGGACGACGAGGACAGGCATGAGGAGAACGACATAGCCTCCTCGCCCCAACCCACGCCCTCGGACACCCCCATCGCTGAAGGGCCTTCGGCGTGGCCGCCGCCGCCGCCGGCCGCAGATGGCTTGGAAACCCCGGCGACGTTTGATCCCTCTGCCGGCGCGGCTGCAGCGGCGAAGTCATCCGTCAGTGCTGCCGCGGTGGTGTCGATACTACCTCTCTTGTGCTCGTGGGTGCTACTGAGACCGCGATGTTCCACGCCCGTCGAGTTTGCATCGATCGCCATGCTATCCTGTTCCGCACGCGCCGAGTTCGCATCGATCGCAATGCTGTCCTGTTCCAAGCGCGCCGCGTTCGCGCTGATTGCACTGATCGCCATGCCGCCGCCTAGACCGTGCGCCTCAAGAGCCGCCTTCGAAGCCGAGGAGGCGGGGGCGGTGCTGCCACCGCGGGTGATGGGGGTAGGCCGGCGGCGGATGGCGAAGGTTTGCGTGTAGGGCACCGTATCGTCCCTGTACGATACAACAACAAAAGGGGGGGGGGGGCGATCGGGTGAAGAGCGGGAGAGCAGCGTGAGACCCGTGAATCGGAGAGCGTTGAGTGGAGAATCAAGGATTTCATGCGGTGTGCATTTTCTGCACCCCTGAAGGAAAATCACTAGATAAAGAAAACGGCGGCGGATGGCGAAGGTTTGCGTGTAGGGCACCATATCATCCGTGCACCATGAAGGGGGGTGACCCAAGAGGGAGAGAAGCGTGGGACCATGTATGGCATCTGTGAATCGGAGAGCGTTGAATATTGCGGGGGAGAAACAAGGAATCCATGCCGTGAAGTACCTTTTCTGCACCCCTTTCAGGAAAAACACTAGAAAACGTAGAAGTGTACATGCATCCAAATTCCAAATGCGATGTCTTCTAGAACGGCAGTAAAGTGCACAACTCGTCTACAACGCCGCATTCTTGATCGAGCTGCCCTGCAAAGGACCTGGAAAGCAAAGCACGCCAGAATCCGGGGACGCGTCTCACGTTTCATCCCAGGTGAGGTCGAGACCGGCGACAAAATGCTCTCCGTCCGGCATCCACGCGGCGTGGACGTCGAAAGGCTGGGAACGACAGCGGCTTAACCGCTGCCCATGCCAGGCATCCCAGAGTTCCGATGAGCTGGGGCAGACAAAGGCGAAGGCAGGAGTTTTCGAAGAGGCAGGCAAATAAGTGTGATCAGGTTGAATTTAGACTCCAACACATCCCCTCCTTCGCCTGCTGTGGTGTTATCTCGAAAGGGTAGTCGTTCTTTCATTGCACGTATGTTCTAAAAGAAAAAAACAAGTGCTTTTGAAAGAAAAAACAAAAAAGTCTTGTAACCAGCGGGAAAGGGGGACAACTGGTGGCTAGGGGGATGGGGGTTTCTCGATTACCATTGCAGAGGCATTGGAACCGAAGGGTTGACTTCGGCTCGTCACAAAGCGATCACTGCAGTCGAGTTTCCAATGCACGAACGATCCAAAGCTGGGCCGCTGAGGGGCCCTGTTCAACAGTCAACAGTCAAGCTACGGCACCGCGGGCGGTCCCACTCAGCCTCACTTGCCTAGACTAGCTAACGGTGGGGCTTACAAGCTCAACAGTCGACCCCATACCATAACGCTAACACACGATCGGGCTCACAAGCTGAACCGTCAACCCTCACCTACTACCAGTTACCCTAGCCAGCCAAAATGATGGGGGGTTTCACAAGCTCAACAGCAGTCAACCTCACCTAGGGATGAAGGGGTTGCCGTGGGGCTCCTCCAGGCACGACAGAATAAACCTGCCACAAGGAGACCTGCCAGGCCGTGCGCGCGCAGGAGGGGGGGGGGGGGGTACTCATAGTCGTGCATGCTGCAGCCGTTAGACCATTGACCTTGCACCCCTACAAAGCCGGGACAGAGCACGGCGAGTTTTCACCGGAGCTCTCACATCACCAAGCGCGGGGAGGGGGTCGTACTCTTATGTTTTGCATGCCATAGCGGTTAGACCATTGACCAGGCGTCCTCGAGAGAGGTTCAGAGTATTGTTCCCGCAGGACCGATCACCGATGGCCAATCGTTCCTTCCTACTTTGGCAAAGGTGGCTCAAAAATGCCTTCCCTAGTCTATCTGTCCTATCGATATGGGGGGGGGAGGGGCACATGCGGGACATACCCCGGGGAGATCAGGCGAACATGTACCACGGAGCTCTCTCGACAGCTCAATTCAACACTTGCGTGTCGCCTTGCGACCGTTAAGTAAGAACACGCGCCTATTTTATCTTTCAAAACTAGCGTTTGCCGCAGGCCGGCGGGAGTAGAACAGGAGTGACAAAAAAAAAGCAACGGTTTCGGGAAAAAATCGACAAACAATGCTTGGCATTTCCGGTAGGAGTTTCTGTTTGGGAAATGTTGGCCCGTCAGCAATACCATGAACACGACCGGGTAGCCTAGTGAAAACAATGAGCACGAAAAACAAGTTTCCTGAACGCAACGCGCCTTTCTAGGCCGTCACCAAGGGTCAACACCGTTGTACCCAAACAAACCGAGTGGATGAACGAGGGCCGTGGGCTACACATCCGCAGTGCTGACGAGCGAAAAAGGGGTGCTCTTACCAGAAGATTCTGCACACGGAAGCCGTGGCAGACCTCCGTAGGCGGTGGATTAGCCGAACCCCGAGCCCCTTGAAGCCCAAGGGACGCAGCTTGTTTTGCCCATCTCGGGGCATCTCGTCAACCCCGTTGCCGCCGCCGCCGCCGCTGCCGCCGTTGGCGCCGCTGGCGCGAGCTTTGCGGGGACCGTCATCCTTCTCCCCCTCCTTGCTGCTGCCGTGGTTTTCGGGCATGGCCTCGATGGCGTAGACAAGGATGGACATGTCGCGGGAGCATGTCGCCAGCCGGGTTCCGTCTGGAGAGAACTTGAGGTCCAGAACCTCATCACTGTGGGGGAAAGAAAAAAAAAAAGAGAGAGAGAGGGAAAAACGGTGGGAAAACCGCCAACATATTCAGACTACTGCTGTGTAAAAACTCTCGCGCGAAGATGTTGCCAGATGGGTTCCGTCTGGAAAGAGTTTGAGGCCTACGCACCTTGTCACTGCAATGGCAAAAAAAAAAAAATTGGGAAATCGCTCATATATTCAGATACCAAATTACCCCCACCACGGGAGAACCCCAACGACCCTTAGGCGAGAACGCGTGTAAGCGTTGCCATACGTGCAGTGAGACCACGAGCAAAACGCCACGTGCATCGAATGAGAGCACTACCGGGACCAAATAGGCGGGAGAGTTTCGGCATGATGTCATCTACCAACTAGTCACATCACTCGAGCGGGCTGAATTTTCATCCGTAACACACGCCGGGGGGGGGTGGGGGGGGGGGGGGGGACCCCCCCCCGGGGGTGGGGGAAACCTTAAAACCTTTTCCCCCCCACCCCACAAAACCGGGGGGGGGGGGGGGGGGGAAACCCCCCGGAAACCCCCGCCTTGGGGGAAAAAAGGGGAGGGGGAAGAAAAAAAAAGGAACAGGGGAAAACCCAAAAAAACCGGGGGAAAAAAAAAAACCCTTTCCCTTCAAAAAAATTTTGGGGGCCGCCCCAAAAAACGAAAGGGAAGGGAAAAAAGGTGGGGCCCCCCCCCCCCTTTTTTTTTAAACCAAAAGAGGCCCCCAATTGATCTCCAAGTGGGAAAAAACCCCAAAAAACCGAAACCGGAAAAAGGCCGGGGCCCCTTTTTTTTTTTTTTTGAAAAAAATTTAACCTTTAAACCCCCTCTTTTCCAAAAAAAAAGGGCCCTTTCAAGGATTAATTGGGAATTATCCCAAACCCCGAAAAAAATTTTAACCCGGGGGGAGGGAACCCCCGGTGGGGCCCCAGTTGCGAAA